GATGGTTTAGATGTTAAAGTTGAACCTAGAATCTGGTTTAGATTAGATCTTCCTGACAGAAAAACTATAAATGTTGATTGTAAAATAGATTCAACAATCGGGCAAGAGATAAGTCCCATATTATCTTCTTATGGTTATAAAACTGAAATGGTGACACTGTGTTCTGTGAGTATTTGTAATGCTTCAATATATATATATATAACGTTAACTTTATAATAATTTGTTATTTCAGATAAGTGAAAACGAAGTCATTGATCTGGATATGGATGTTTCACTTGTAGAAAATCGTCGAATTCAAGTTTTGACTCGCAGTAGTATGACATCATTTGCTCAAAATATTACACTAAGAAATGGACAAGCTCCAGATAACTTGGATGAATTAACTAATCAAGTATTTGAAGACCTATTGCAAAATAAAAATCCAGAATTTAATAAACTTCCATCAGATCAAGGATCTATAAAAGTTAGTTAACATGTGTTACATATACTTATTAATGCTGAATTATAGTTCTCTAAATTATTTTAATCCAAAACAATAAACTTTAACATTCCAAATTTTTATTTTTATGCAGAATTTCTCACTGAATATTTGGAACTATTGACCAAATATTACCATCTTAGATTAATATATTTTTTTTTTCATTTACTAATACAAAAACACTAAATATCATTTTTCTAAATATTTTGGGTTTTTAAAGTATTGAAGATTTTAGTTTGTTAAAACACAAAATGAAAATATAATCCTAATGTTCTGAGTGCTTAAAAATAGTTATTGATTTATAACTTTTGTATATTAAGAATCTTGTATGAATAATTAAGCTTTTTGTAGTATTACGATGTATTTTTGTTGAATAATGGATATTAATAAACATTAAGTTTTGAGCCCAATATAAGAAATTAACTTATCCCATTTCTTAAGGTAATTAGATTACACAAATAATTACAATAAATAAAGAAAAAATGGTTTTCTATGTGTTAATTTATCTCTYATTTAACATATAAATATCTAATCTTTTTTTGTATAAGAAAAATTTACAAAAAATTAAAGCAAAGTAAATGCCCCTCTCCCCCCCCTAAAAAAAAAAAAGTATAAGTAAATAGTTATTTCTAAATTAAAATTGTATCTATATTACATGAATAAATAAAACAAATTCTTTTATTTATTTTAGTCTGAAGAATGGGGATCAGAACAATCTTCTAGCTTGATAAGTAGATTTTTAAGAAGAGATTCAATATTTCATGAAAAACAAAGAGTAAGAATATTATTGTTACTATTTATCATGTTTAATTATAAAATTATAAAAAATTTTTTAGAAAATAAAAAAGACTTGTAAATCACAATTTGTTATGCATGATCAACAAATTAATAGTACTGAAAAAAAACAAACACTGAGTAAACTTCCACCACTTATTGCTAAATTAAAACCAACTACCAAAATACAAAACGACAAACAATCTGAGAGTGATGGTAATTATTTGGTTTTAATTATTAATAGTTTTACAATAATAGTTTAAGTTTAGTAGGTTATTTAACTTTAAATGAATATAATTCTTATTTATTATTTTAATTTTAATGATTGCGTTTGATAAACCTGGAAAAATATTTGTAGTGTAAAATTCTGTAGTTATAATATTATGTTCTATTCAAATTATATTGCATTATTTAAAATGTTTATATTTTTATATTGTAATGTTGTTAAGGAAATTAAACATTGACAGGAATTGAATTAAAATCTTCATATTCTTCTTCTGGTTGTTACTTCAATAATTTAATGAATTATTTATTGTAATATTTTCCTCTAAAATACTAAAATATTAGTATTGATTCCAAATACTTCCAATACTTGAACCAACAACATATTTTAAGGGGTTATGATATTATAAATAATATACAGTTGGCCCATAAGTCCCGTATCACCCTTAATATCTCAATGGGAAATCAATATATTTAAATGCAGTTTTTTTTACAATACTAAGTATGGAAATTCTGATTGAATGGCATAAAATTAAATTGTATTTAAAAAAAAATTCAAAAAAAAAAATGTGTAAAACATTTAAGAATTTAAAATTTGTAAGATAGTCATTTTGTTAAACATATTTTTTAAAACAGTTCAAAAAAAAAATTTTTTAAAAATTGACCAAGTTAGAGCAAGTTATGTTTTTGAATAATTATAATAATAGTTGTTATCTATTAAAACACGAATTACTCGATTGGAACGCCTGTTTTTTATGTCAATCTGTAAATATCTATAAATATCTAACTATTTGTGGAGCTTTTAGGAAAGATTAAAATTAAAATTCAGATAATATTTTTAACAATAAAAAAAATAAAAAAATGTATTACATAAAAACGAAAATTATGTATTACGATTTATTATGATATAATTAAAATACTTAAAAATAGGTAACCAGTTTAACTGTTCAGCAAACGATAAGACACGACTATTTTTATTTCTATTCAAATCAAAACTTTAATTAGGTATGTAAAAGTATTGTCATGCTGAAATGGATATTTTTTTATTGAAATGTGAAACATTTAATATTTTTGTAATAATTATTCAAAAACAACTTGCTCTAACTTGKTCAATTTTTATTCAATTTTTATATATATTTTTTTGAACTGTTTTAAAAAATATGTTTAACAAAATGGCTATCTTACAAATTTTAAATTAAATGCATAAAAAATGTTTGTAATAAATTATATTAAACTAACCTAACATAACCTATGATATCAACCATATTAGAAAGAATATACTGTAAGTTCAAGTTATCATCTATGTCTTACATACTTTCCTTGTGCTAAATTATAAAATTGTTACAATGTAACCATGGTTGTTGATATTTTTAAAGATGATAAATAGATTCAATATTAATTAATTTGTTYATGATAAAATAAAGTTGATTATCTTAAATAATGTACTACTGTTAATACATATTTTAATATACGCCATTTATTTATAAATTTTAGCGTTATATGAGGGCTTAAAGCGAGCTCAAAGAAGTAGATTAGAAGATCAACGAGGTACAGAGATAAATTTCGAAATGCCTGATTTTTTAAAAGTATTTACATTATGACTAAATATGGTTTTTATTTTATTATTAAATATGGATAATATATTTATATTTTTAAATGTTTAGAATAAAGAAAATAATACAACAGATGCCAACAAAAAACATTGTAAATTAATAAGGTTAACAGAACGTAATGGTGGAAACAGAGAGTCAGCTCGCTTTTATAAATCGCTGATGAATGATGGTGAATTTAAACGGCCAAATCCAATACCTGATGATCGTACCAAATTCATTAGACATCTTCCGCCTCCATTACCACCTAAACCCAAGAACTTAACCAACGAACATCAAATTCAAAAAAAAGTTGATACTAAAATTAAAAAGCCTGTGTATGTAGACCAACCAACAAGTAGTTTTGTTTAAGTGTATTGAAAAAATTACGTATTAAGTTTGCTAATATTAATGTTAATTAACATAAAGAAAATTTATTTTATATAAATATTAAGAGTATTATTAAATGTTTTTTTTTTTTACATTCAGTATTATTTTGGAGTGGGTATTTATATTATGTATATTTTATATTTTTATATTTTTACTAAGTGATTATGTATAAACAATTTTAAATAATAAGTATCTWTATCTTTATTCATGATTTATTTTTACATTTGATGCTACATTAGCATTACATTACATTAGCTATGCATCTGGAAGTACAATTTTAGATTTTGCTTCGTCTGGCTGAGCTTCTAAGGCAGTTTCTGTCTCAGCTTCAACATTTAATATATTTGTTACTGTAGCTGGTTCTTTCGGAGGCATCCAATCGGGAATAATTTTTCCATGTATACGCCACATTCCATATTGATTAACAATGTGTTTTTCAAATACTACATATTCTAAGACATCCTTGGCAACCACATCACTACCAAAAATTAAGCGCCCAAAACGGTCAAAAACTGATAATGTCTAAGAATAAAAAAACAAGAATGATTTAAACTTGTTGGATTGTGAGTAATACATTTAGATAATTATATGACATTTTTTAATGTTTACCTGTTTAGTGTGAAAGCGTACAGTTAATTGTGCAAATAAATTGTCTTGAGTTATAATATCTGTTACTCTTGCATGAACTACACGAGGTGGCTCAATGGATTTTATGAATGACCAACGTAATGTCTTATTGTCTATATTGTGCAGCATTTCCTTTAATATAAACAATATGTTTTAAGTTTGATAACTACAATATGTTTGTTTTCTACTTACCACATAAGCTTTTTCTGTAACATATTGAAGAAGATTTTGTTTATCTTTGCTAAAAGTATTAAAAACATTCAAATTTAATATGAATTTTAATCATAATAATTGGTACTTATCGGTTATCGAGACAAACTCAGTAACAAGAAGATAAAGATATTGAGTGGTGGTTTTTATTAGTATTGATGAGGATTTTTCTTTTAGATAAGTGACATGAGTATATGATGTTTTATTTTTAACGGGACATGCCTGATGCTATTTTCTAACACTACTGTTTTATAAGTATTTTTATTACTATCAATACTTTTTGTAGTGTAATGTTACATTACTAATGTACTATGTAGTATGTGAAATGTGCAATTTGTTAAAATTGTGATGCAAATCTGAGATTTACCATTGAACGAAAAACTGCCAGGACTTTTTTTCAAGTATACATGGTTTTACCTAAAAGAGSACTATTTAGTACTGGTCACAAAGMAAAATTGTTGTTGAAGTACACCAGATACACAGAAGCTAAAGGTAAATAAAAATAAAATCGGATATAAGTAATAATATAATAATATGTATAATTGATACGAATAACTATTGTGCTCCGAGGCATAATATAAAACAACGACTAATTGTCCTACAGGCTACTACATTGAACGAATATGCTAGTAATACAAAATGCCTATTCAACGTCTGCTGTACTACAGTGTGAATAATTTTACTTACAATCTACATACTATAGAGTGTGTTGTTTACATTCAACAATTGTATTTCGAGAAACAAATATTTTGGAAATGTAATATTAAATCATGCGACGTGCCATAAGAAAGTAAACATGCATGTTAGTAATTGGTTTGTTGGCAGTTACATTTCATTTGTATGTGTTATATACTTTGTTGAACAGAAGATAAGACTTCTTTAAAATAGTGTTTTAAGCCTCAGAACTTGCGAGGTGAAAATAAGATGAAAGATTAATGCTAGTTGAGTTTTACCTCAACAATAGATTTTTAGGAGAATTTGTCGATAAATGGCGGAATGTTTTTTATCTTAAGTTAAAGATAGCACTTATTACTACATAGACTACTTCTACACTTCTACAAATAATAAATGACAATATAAAAGCAAGGTACAAATATTTATACTGATAGTTGGCGTGTTTACAAAACAGATGAACTTCAAAATGCTGGGTTTAACCATTTCATTGTAAACAACATTTATAAATTATAATACCTTGATAGCTCTACCTGCTTTGACCATATATGGTGCAGCATCACTTAATAAAAGTAATACATGGTCGTGTTTTATACCATTTGGCCAAATAGTTTGAAGTGATCTATCGAAAAGTTTTGAAATTGTACTATGATTTACCTTTTCTAAGACTTCAGTATTTATTAAAAAATGTTTTCCGGGGCCATTCAACTCCAAAGTTCCCACAACAACATTTGCTACATAACGCCCTTCGGCGTCTGTAGTTTCATCTAAAGTTACCCAAATTTTTTTATTTTCTACGTAAGATCTGATTTTATYTATAGTTTCCTGATAACACTGAAAAACGTAGCTTTTTCTTAAAGTCGATTCATCGGGAATTAATTTATTCGTATATTTTTCCAGAAATTGTTTAAATGTTTCATTCTGTAGTTTTTGCAATGGAATATTTGCGGCTAGTAGTGCCTGACACAAATCATAATTGAAAGATGATTTTTTAGATGGTTCGGTAATTAAACGTTGTGTCTTACTTGTACTTAGTTCTTGGTTTTTATTTTTCAATTCAAMTCCATTAACATGTTTTTTACGCGAAATATGCTGTTCRATGGTAAAYTTTTTGTCAGCTGCCACTTTAACCTCACAAATTTTGCAAAATAACACAGTGCCATCGGATGAAAAAACGTCTTTGCCAAAATGATTTACAAACGAATTCAATAAGAGTATTATTTGAAACTTTGTACTTGGGCATATTAAATCAATTATATTAAATATTTAAATCGAAAACTTTACTATCCGTCGTTCACATGTATAATGCCACTATGCCCGAAAGACGTAAAATGACAATCACACCGCTACGTCTCGTGKGTATCAGTAAAATTATCGAAATTATTTTTAATTGTACAAGGTCGCAAGAAGACGCAATGTGAAGWAGATGCGTGAGTGTATGTAACGATTAGTCTATATTCTTGGTAAAACTATTAAATGGAAATTAYGATAAGTTATCCATTCCATTGTCGACAACGCAGGGGAAACAGCACAAAGTAATGCAAGTGTGTACAGAACTACAGACTACAAGGTTTAATAACGCGGTCTAAATTTAAAACKGAGATAAGAAATAATGTCAGTAATACAATATGCTGCACAATATGTTAGTTTTTACAAATATTTAGTTTTGTCAAAATAATATATTATAAGAAAAATGCAAAGAATGCTCCAAAATTACTATAAAATGACCGTATAATTAAAAATTGATGAAAAATGCAAAAAATGCAAAATAAAAATGGTTCCATTGAACTATACATAACATAAATCACATTTATGTACAGACAAGCCTCGTATAAACGCATTAGAAAAAAAGATGCAAATGCATCAAGTTCCGGGCCCTATTTATGATTGTGTTGCTCCTCAAACTAATGTTCACACACAAAATTTCGAAAGGTTATGGGGTTCCTCTAAATGGCGTAGCTCGTCAACATTATCGCCGAAGTTATTAGGTCRAATTCAAGTGGTATCAAAAGTACAATAATCCATTTATAGGTATTTTAAATTTCATGTCTGAAAATTTTTCCACTTGAGTTAGTTGTTAATTTCTAATTTTGAATTTTATTCCTAGTTTTTTTCATAGTTTTAATAATTTTTTTAATTTATGCCATWTAAAGAAAGGTAGTCACAATAACCAATAAGTACACAACATTTGTATATATGTCATAGATAAAATAGTTGATACAAACTTGGCCATAGTTGTGTGGGCTTTCAGATAAATATCTTGTGCTTTGGTTATAAATTCAGGATATAATTCAAATTCTTCCTCGTTCTGTCTTATTTTACGGATGGCTTGCCAAGTATCTTTTTTCTTTTTCAATAATTCAAGTTTTTGTTTAGCTCCCTATATAGAATAATAATTAAGTTAGTATGGTGTTATTAATATTAAGTATTTAAAACTTAACTGCTGTACTGATTGGTGAAATTTTTCCATCTCCTTCTGGTGGAATATAAGGTTCAATGATAGAACCAGTATTGTTAATAAATGTGGTACGTTCAATCCACGATCTTGTAGGCTGTATACCTTTTTCTTTGTACCTGGTACGTAACTTTTCTGGGCTGTAATCCTCAGAATCAACTTGATCTTTTTCATAATCTGGTAATTCTATTTTTATAACCTTTAAAACACAATTATATTTAATAAGTTAATTTTTACTAATATTTTAGCAACAGAACATACAAAATTACTGTTGAAAAAGTATAAATAGAAATGTAAATCATAATAGAAAATAGTCATAACTATTTATATCAAACTAACTAGTAAGATATGAGAAATATTATATCTTGATTTTAAAATCTTATTTACAAATAAATATAATATGATGTGTAGTTACTTTTTGGCTTCTCAACTTTTTGAACTCCGGTTTATAATGTTTGTTACTTCTGTATCGAGTTTGACCCACACAACCAATAGTTAATAAATTTTGTACGTTACAGTTAAAATGCTGAAKCTAAGAATTTTTCATATAAATTTTTAATAAATATGGTCACATCAGTAAAGAAACGTTAAATAAAATAATTTTTACCTTATTAAGTCCAGTATAGGCTGTATGGACGGTCCTAAACATGGTGATTATTAATGTAAATATTCAATAATCTTTTAAATAATCGATCAAGTATTAAATTAAAATTTAAGAATATAAAAAAATTGTATTCTATATTTTTATTATGAATTTGATACTTTAATCATTAAGAGCTTCTCACTCATAGACCACAGATCACATTTAAATAATTTATTAAAATTTAAAATAATATCCATTATCAATTATGTTGGTTATCAGTTTATCACATGGTTTATATCATGAAAAGATTATAGGCTGCTGGTTAAAGTGTGGGTTAACTACAACCGTGGTTAAAGCAAAACTTAAAATTAGTTGTAAAAGTCACATTTGAAGTTAGTCATTGCCTCATTGGTAATTCAACTATAAATTTACAAATAATTCTCAAAAAACGACCTTCTTATTTTGTTGTTATTCAAAAACTATTAATTTCATGAAATATTTTGTTATTTTCTATATTATATGATAAAATTTTCTAAATATTTTCTCATTGGGTTATTTAWAGATAACCATCTTCGATTTTATTAATTTTTTATTTTATAAATGACTATAAAATTGTGCTAAATTGAGTCAAAATGCTTGAATATTTAATAAAAGATTCCATATATAAGAAATTAAGAACGATTT